ATAATAACAGCATATACTTCCCAGGGTTCTTGTGAAGATAAAAAAGGATAATTTTTTAAAGGACTTGGCACAGTGCTTATTCCTATAGCCATGCTATGGTTATTCACCCTTCATTTCGAAGAAGAGGCCTAATGGTATCACAGGGTTATGTCTTCACTTGTGTATGAAATGGGTTTAAGTGAGGCCAAATGACAGAACCAGGAATGGAATCCAGATCATTTAAAACTAGTATGCTTTTTATTATGTCACACTGCCTCTGAGGTCACTTCCAACTCTGAGGTTTAGCATTACCCCCATATGTTTACAGAGGATTTTGCATCCCAAATGTTTAATTTGCCTAAGCTTATTTAATCCTCACACCAGTTCTGTTTGGTTTTTTGTTTTTTTTTTTTAAGTTATATACACTGGTTATTTCCAGATTGCTGAACCCTGAACACATATATAATCCCCCTTTATATCTGTAATGACAGAGACTGGCCAGTGAGAGCCTAGTCTTTGAAACATGAGCTTATTTATAATAGTAAAAATGATAATGTTAATAATAAGTAACACATAATGCTACAAGGTTTCCAAATGCCTTAAATATATCTTACTTGATCCTCACTCTGTTTTCAATCTAACCATCATATATAGAGCATGGAAGTATTGTATTATGAAGGTGTGGTCATACTCCTCAATGTAGCATTATTTGACCCTAAGAGTCTAAGCTTGACCAAGATCCAAGCTTGACTCAAGCATCGATATGTTTAGTTCATCAGTGTTGGTCTTCCCTTCCATTGCAACTCATCTATGCGTGCATATCCAGTGCAATTCACCAAGGTCATCCTGTAAGTTCATCAAAGGAACCGCACTCAGCATGCTGAGGGCTCTTCCTCATTCTTTTCACGGGGAGAGAATATCAGTGGAACATGTTGGCTCTGTGATAGTTTGAACATTGGAACAATGCTCTCACTACTTCCATTTTCTATTTTGCTTTATATCTCTCCTAGACATCATCACTTACTTTGTAATTCATTGTAAAATGCTTCGACTTGCTCATGCCTATCACGCACCTCTCCAAAGCCTTCCAGGTGAATTTTAATTTCAATTTATGAAAATTAAATACTAAAAATGTAACTATTATATCATAAATGTAATCCCACCTAAGAACTTTGCTTCATATTCAGTAGAAAAAAACATTTCAAGCATAGCAGAGTTCCCTCTTCTCCCCTGTTCCTCATATCACTCAGATGCTTTCTGACATTGTCTTCTCTTTCACCCTATTTCACATAATGAGGGGAAATGTTTTATACCAGTTGTTCTTGTTATAACTTCTCAGGAAATCCATTTCTAAAAGCTAATGTAGGTCAGCTGGTTGATTGTTGACGGTGAATACACCAGTGAGGACTCATCAATGACAGTACTAGAAATCTCAGCCCCTAGTATGTAGAGAGCAGCAGAAGCAGCAGCAGCAGCAGCAGTAGTAGTAGCAGCAGTGAGCCAACCTCTGGGGAACCCAATTTGTGAGTATGAGTATCCAGTTCGGGCAGTGGCCTCAGAGGGGTACAACAGAATGATGACAAAGTTTAGTTAAAAAAAAAAAAACTGATAGAATATCCCTGAGAGTATTTGGTATAGTCTATACCAAGGGTGGGGAACCTTCAGCCTTGAGGCCACATGTAGCTGCAGGTTCCCCTCCCCTGGTCTGTACTCACAGTTGCCTGCTCTTCTACCAAAAGGAGGAATGTTTATCATTTGTCTTCCAGGACCAAGATTGGACACTGATTTAATCTGAGATCACTCATCTCTTAGTGTTATTTTCATTTACATTATAATAATCACCAAGAATATTGTTCTCCTTACTTTGCTCTGCAACAATCCATAGAAATCTCCCGACAGTTCTCTGAATTCCTCATACTTGATGCTTTATGGTGCAATAATATTCCATTATATTCATACACAGCAATTTGTTCAGTCATTCCCCAATTGACAGTCACCTACTTTGCTTCTGCTTTTTTGCTACCACAAAAAAAAGTGTTGGTATGTGATTATTTGGCATCTTTTTCTTTGTTTTTTGTTTTTTCCTCTTTGAAGGTATATGCCCAGTAGTGGAACAGTGGGATCACTGTGTCAAATGTGTAAAGTTTAATGACTTTTTTCACATAATCTCAAATTGCTTTCCAGAACATTTAAACCAAGTTCCAGCTCTACCAATAGTATATTACCATAATGTTTTTCCATACTCCCTTCAATAATAATGTTACCATTTATGTAGCACTTTAAAGTTTACAAAGTACTTAACGTACACCATCTCATTTTACCTTTACGGTAACCCTGTGAGGCAGGTGTTATTATCACCCTCATTTTACTGATGATGAAACTGCCTATGGTCACACAGCATCACTATCTATTTCCATTTTTTTTTAATCATCTTTGCCAATTTGATAGGTGTGAGGTGAAACCTCAGTTTCACAACAACTTTGTTACAAAGGTATAAATAGTATTATACTTATTTTACATATGAAGAAACTGATCAAGTCATCTGATTCTAGTCTAATGCTCTTTCTCTTATAACATGTCTTTGCCTGTGCAAAGCAGTATTTTCATGTTGTTGTTGTTTTTTTCATGTTTGATGAACCTCAAAAACCAAGGTAAGTTGAAACCAGTCCATATAAAAGGGCTCATTTGTTTGCTGGGGTAACAATAAAATAATTTGTGCAATAACACTCTTGTCCCTCTTTTTTTTTTTTTTCAAACACTGTGAGTGAATGTAATCAAGTTGTTTCTTTCTTCCCAAATCCTGACTGTACAAAATAGGTATGTCCCTCTGACTTCATGGATGTGTGATTTCATCAATTTGGATGTTCTTTCTATTGTGTCCATCAAAAATATTCTCGATCTAAAGAGATAGGCTTCTAGAGTTGCTGTAACTAAAGGTTTCGTCACCATGCTAATGAAAAAGCCTCTGACAATGCTAGGCTAGTCCTCAGGTAATAAACACTAAATTTATTATTGGTGCCTTAGCTGAAGTTGTTCTAACTTGGTAAATCTTTCTTGAACTTCTTTCTGTTCCACTCAGGCACCCAAGAGTCATTTTATACCACAAGGAGGCATTGGAGTTGTTTGTTTTAGTTATCAAAAACAATACTAACTACTCAGTTCTGGAAATACTTCAGGGAGTTCATGAGATCATTCAATATTTTAGGGAGAGCAGTAGAGGAAAGACACAAGGAAAGAAAACAGCAAGGTAAAAGCTGTCATAGTCAATAGTTCCAAAACTATCTAATGTACTTAATTGAAAAGTTAAAAAAAAAAAGGGAGTGACATAAATGTTTAAGGGTATATGGTACTTGTAAAAAAAAAAAGAATAAAGTCTGAATGGAGCTTAAAAAAAAATAGGAGTGTTCTAAAGGCAAAGTAACTAATGGAGAGGATGAGGAAGGGAGGGCTGAGATGTACTGGTCAAATCAGGGAAGATCTCAGAGCCTGCATAAAGCCATTAAGACTGAGCAATATCTAGGATCTATCTAGATGTTGGGGGTCAAGAACACCATCATGTCCCCCCAAGGAGAATGTTAGTTCCTCAAGAGTAGAGACTGTGGAGTTTTCATCTTTGTATGCCTAACCCCTAGCACAGTGCTTGGCATGTAGCAGGTTCTTAATAAATGCTTGCTGAATTGAATTGGGGCTTGATTTTTCAATCTTCTCTGTGATGGGTAGCACAAATCTCCCAGATCATGAGCACCTGGGGCAGTGTCACTAAACTGCAAGACAGGATACTAGGAAGCAGTTGGCCTCTCAGACCTGACAGAGGATTATCCTAATGTAACCATAATTAAAGTATATCTTCTTCATCTCCTCAGTTCCCTGGGAAGCTCCTTGAGGGCAGGATTCATGGTTTATTTGTATCTGAATTCCCCACAGTTCCTTGCATAGGGCAGGCATTCATAAATTCCTGTGCCACCAGGTCACCAGATGAACCAAAATGGGTCAGCTACAAAGATGATGAACAGAATAATGTTTTTAAGGATATAATGAAGTAATAAAAAAAAAACAAACAACCCAAAGTAACAACTGATACTTATAAAGCACTTTGAGGTTTACAAAGCACCTGACATACAATACTTGAAGACAGACACTACTGGTATGAGGATGCCCATTTTATAGATGAGAAACTGAGGCTCTGAGGGGTTAAATGACTTGACCATGGATAAATAGCTAAGTAATCTTTCTGAGTAGAATTTGAATTCAGACCTTCCTGATTTCAAGTTCTGCACTCTATCCATTCTGCAAGACAGTCTTCCTGACAAAATCATACATTACAGCTTCAGCGAGTTAGGAAAGGGCAAAGAAAGAGGCCAGGTGCATATCAATCCAAACTGGGGTAGACTAGAGGCAAGGATGCTTTTTATTTCAATCCCATTGGAAAAAATAATATTTATCTTACCCTCATACTTCTCAGAAAATACCAACATAGATAAACTGCGAAATGAAGAGGTTACTTTCATTGACTCTAGATTAGGTTCTGAGTTTGACCTTTAACCCTAGAGGCTAGAAAGGACCCTCTTACTTTTTACTGTACAGTATAAGATGAAAATAGGGTATTAAAATGAGTCAAAGGACGGGGACATAAATGTCTTTCAAACCAAAATCTTTACCAAATTAATGAACTCAATCTAATAATTATTTGTACAGGTATACAAATAACTTATCTGAAATTATACAAAAAAGATGGACTTGTTTTTTGGAGGCAAAATGGGTTAAGAGACTTGCCCAGCATCCACAACTAGTAAATGTCTGAGGCTGAATTTGAATTCAGGTCCTCCTTACTCCAGGGCCAGTGCTCTATCCACTGCTGCCTAAAGACGGACCTTTTAGTGTTAATTTCCATGTTATATCTCCTTGGCTTCAATTTGTCCCAAATAGATGCAGTTGTGAAGTATGTAAAATTTTCTCTGAAGACACAAACATTTATAATGGTTGACTATAACTTCCAGATAATATGAAATACCAGGCATGGGTTAAGAATCTGCTTCTTTTTTAATGAAAATAAACAGGTTTAATAAATGCAACAAAAATATTTGAGCACATATTTAGCACAACTTTAAAACAGTTATTACTGGTGTTGGGAATCAATATACTCATTTATTTGCAAAGAATTAAGAAAAAAAATTGGTCATGACTCTCTTCCACTCCTCTCTGACCTCAAAATAGATTCTTCAAATTTTACGTTTTTTCCATTCTGGTTCATTCTTTGTTTCTTCATCTTCAGATTCTACTTCTGCAAAAACAGTTTTAGGCTGAGTCCTAAAACAAAAGAGAAGGAAAGTAACTTAGTTAGCAAGCACTGACTGAGCTCCTAACAAGATGTGACTTTGTCTTTTTGGCCAAGTGCTACAAAAATGAATTTTTTTTAAAGCCACTATTATCTCTGAATGATTAAATATTAATCCTTAGGTTTCTAACCACCAGAAACATACGGGGGGGGGGGGGGGACCTATAAAGTTCAGAGACAAGGATTCACATTCCAAGGTGAACATGTGATTTGTGTTTCCCTAGTATAAAATGAAAACATAATTTAAATACAGTGGAACCTCAACCATCCAACTTCTGAACCATCTGGAATTCAGACAATTCGGTCCCATTTTGGGGATTGAATGGAACTGGAAAATAGAATTGAACAAGGATTTGTCTAGAAAGTGAAGGTGGTCCAAGCTAGAGCCACAGCAAGGCCTAGGCAGAAACTCCAACCAAATCCTTTGTATTTTTGTATAGCTACACTGTTCCAATCTTGAATGGCTCTGCCATATGAAATTTTACTGTATGGCAGAAGAAAGACTTAAATTAACTTTTTTTTTTTAAATTAAACTGGTGTTTTAAATTTTTTTTTCCTGGTTAGGCAATGGGGTTAAGTGACTTGCCCAAAGTCACACAGCTAGTAAGTCTTATGTGCCTGAGGCCGTATTTGAACTCAGGTCATCCTGAATCCAGGGCCAGTCCTCTATCCACTGTGCCACCTAGCTGCCCCCAAACTGGTGTTCTAAAAATAAAGGATACTCTGTAGTTTTACAACTGCCAGCAAAAAAGGCAATGGAGTTTCTGATCAGTTCAATGTATGGAAATTCCATCTTTGAGAAGACACCACTGTATAGCACTATGGTAGAAAAAATAAAAAAATCTTCATGAGAACTTTCTATGCTTTTTAAACATGCCTGACTTTATGAAATTCTTGCCTATCATTAAATCGGAAAAATGCCAGCTATTGGAATTTAAATAATATATACTTCAGTATTTCCCACATGGTTGATTAATTCCTCCTTTAAAAAGTCATTTCATTCATTGAAGGAAACAACTTTTGAAGGAAGCATAATTTTTTAAAGTTTAATTTTTAAAACCTTAAACCTTCAAACTATGGCTTAATTTCCTCAAGATGCTTCAAGAGTTCTAAAAAGAATAATTACCTGGTTGTGTGAATGTGTGCTCACACACAGCAAAACTCTCGATTTTATGTAAGTAAATGTGTTTTATAAATATATACATGCAAACACATTTTTATGTATAGTTTAAGGAGAGGGAAAAAAATAAGGTCACAGTTCTGAAAGGCTTCTTACTGTTACTTTATTACTTTCAAAGAAGCAAAATCCTCCCACAACTCATGCTGATGCTACATGGTATGAGTTGCATACAGCCACTGGCCCCTGTCTGCATTCATACGTACCTGTCTAAAACCTAAGGGTCCCCCCCTCCACCTTGAAGAGTAAGTTGGTTGTGCTGCCATTATGTTACCCTGAGATATTGGGTATATGACATCTGGGAACAGGTCGAAGGACTAAAATCTTAAAAAAAAAAAAAAGCTGCAGAATTTCATATGCTATGGTGCTACTAGATTACTACAAAGCCGGATAGGTCAGCTTCCTTCCACAATACACCAAGGCAGGCAAAATACATCTATGACTTTTGGCAAGAACACTGAACATTTAATTCTGGGCAAACCATGCAGAAATGGCCTTATCCAGTGTGAAAATATACTTTTAAATTAAATATCTAATTTCTAATGGGGAGAAAAAAGACATAATTTTCCCAAAGAGGGTAGAGAATGTCTCCATAGGCTAGGTTTAAATTTATTAGGTTCCTGAGACTTTAATGAAACCGAAATGGCGCTTTTCTGGATTACACAATTAAATAGAAAAGGAAAATGGAGGTAAACCTGAAGGTGAGAAGGTTATTTAAGGCCACCGAGATTTCCTTTCATTTTCCTTCTGAAAATGTATAATTATGGCATCAACCTTACAAAGGGAGATCCATAAAAGATGAGGAAAATAATTTAGCATATAAAGTAATATATGTGGAAGTGCTTTGTAATCACAATATAAATAAAACTGATCAGTACCAATTCAAGACTTTATAGAGTCCTGGAACTACCATCTAGTACCTAATACCTTAGAACTGGAACAATCTTCATTATATTTATTTAGTTTACTAATTTTTTTGTCCATGTGAAACATATTCATTTTATAAATGAAGAAACCAAGGATCAGAATTGTATAGGTAAAGCTAGGAAAAGAATTAAAACACTGTTTTTCCTCTGGGGAATGTATAAATTGGCCTCTCTGTCTAAAAGATGAATAGCTTTCAAAGGCAAGAGAAAGAAATCTAGGTCTCATCAGTAAAGTCACTGGCTACAAAAACAGATTTCTCTTGTCTGTTTGAGGAAATGGATTTGTACAATGATCCTAAACATAATTCCTGCCCTACAAGTAATTACAATCTAAGAAAGGAAACACTGGTTAGATAATTAAACAAGCAGTGACATTATATTATTATATATTATATCATATATTATAAAAATAATTAATTTAACATATATCAGGCTACATGTTGTAGTCAAGAACTAGATTTGAAGTCAGAGGGCCAGGGTTCAAATCCTGTCTCTGCCACTCAAAAGCTATAACATCTTGGGCAAGCAACTTAAGCATTCTAGAAGGAGCTGGCCCAGATGGTATATAAGCCCCTTACAGTTATAAATCCATGAGCGCTAAAATACAGGCAGAAGCTGACCTCACATCTTACCACTTACAAGAGATTATCTATACACCCCCCAGTCCAATGTGCATTTATTTATTCGTTCATTTACCCAGACTATTATTCAGCTGTTAAGCTTCTTTTATTGTTATTGTTGTTGTTGTTCAGTCACATCTGACAACAACCAAAAAAAAAATCAACAATCTTTACTTCCCTTACTGTGATTTCACAGATCTCAATGGTTACAAGACAAAGCTAAAAAATATGGTCAAAAAAGTGTCTGAGGTAGGTGTGCAAAGCCTGCCTCTGGCACCTAATGTAGCTAAGCCAAATCACTCAATTCCTCAGTTTCTCATCTGTAAAATATGTATGATAATAACTATTTGCAGTACCTATATCTCAGGATTGTAAGGATCAAATGAGCTAAATACATGGAAAACCCTCTGTTAGACTTCAGCAGTATATAAATGTCAGCTATTATCATTATTATTAGATGATGCCCTCTACAAGTTACTTTTTGGATTTATCAATTCTATCAGGTATTTAACTACATTCTGAACAACTATCCATTCTGAAATCCAATTTGCTCTTAGTGCTCAGGCTTGTTTGGACAAAATGAGTGCCCCTTCTAATAAACATTCTCACAAAAAGTCTAAGAAAAAACCTACAAAGTCACACTTACATATACAACATGCATACATACAACTATATACAAAGAACAAGCAACAAACAGAATATTTTCCCATCTACCTGCCCTCTGTTTTCACTTTTTAAAAGCATTCCACTGGTCTTGCAGAGGCCTTTAAAACATCAATATACCTCCTTTCTGTTGACTGACTGATAGGGCTTTAACTTAGGTCTTCTATGCTTCTAACTTAGGTCTTCTATGCTCACTTTGCTTTAGCATTCAGTCCACAGTGAAAGTCAAAATGTTTTCAACTATAATTAAAAGTTCAAGATCAAATTCTTCTTAATCATCATTACTCATTTGATATGATTCATTCATAAAGTATAAAGCTAGCTTCAGGCTAATGGCATGAATATGAGGGGGAATCCCTTGTATTATTGTTCACAAGTGTGTGAATAGAAACCACAGGCTTGCTTGGCCTAGGGCCCATTGTTTATTATAAAGAAAAACCTCAAAGTGCAAAGTCAATTATAGTCATGACTTGATAATCTGACACACTTGTTAACCCTATTAGGATAAATATGGCCCAGATGAACTCTAACCTAGTTGTTACAATCACAGAATTATTCAAATGAAAGGGCTTGACAAAAAACCTGTAGTTTCAATAGTCCTTTCTATTAAACATCAAATCAAAGGTGACTGCTGTTAAACATAAGAAACACTTTTAAAAAAAAAGGCAAAAAGATTTTTCTAGATAAAGAATTTTCCATTTTCTTTAGAAAAAAAAATAATGTGGAAAACAGATAAATGATAGATATAAAAAGGCAGGTAAGGATAAAATGAAGTGGGAGACATGGAGACTAAGGAAAGGGGAAAGCATCCAAGAGCCCTGTGAAGAATTCTGGGAATAGATTCCTATAAGCTCCCAAACTGCCAGAAGCCACCTGACCACCAAAGTGAATATGAGCTAGACTGATGAGCCAATTAGATGTGAAGAGTACATTTTTAGAAATTTTAGAAACCTTAACTGTCCATTTACAAAAGGTACAATTATGTATTATAAAACTTTTATAACAGCTAGTATTGTGCATTTGGCAACATGGACAGCCTTACTAATCAAGCGTACATTCCCTTACATAACAGGTATGTTTTTGAAAGCTGTGCACAGACTGAATTTTTAAAAAAATGAATGCCATGTAAAATACCCTTGAGGGGCAGGAGGAGGGAAGAAAGGGGGTGGATTATTATTTGAAGAAAGCCTGTGGTGAATCCCTTAGTACAACTAAGGGTGTTTCTATAAACTTTTGTTAAATTTGGATTTTCTTAAACTGAGACATCCTTAAGGCCACCAGTGAAATATTGCCTAGGCTTGGAGTATATTTTACTTAAGGCACAAAGAGTAAAGGAATACACTGGGTAAAGACAACCAACATAGCTAAAGCAATTTTCTTTCTCCACTGTGTAGGTCTCACATACACATATACAATGTGTATTTAAATATTGCCCTTACTTTCCCAATGTGGCATTACATGGGGTGCTCTGAAAGTAATAATGACATTTTCATGCATACCTATTTACTGATCCTGTGTCAGGAAGGATATGCATATTGAAAATTAAATTTACTGAACCAGCAATAATGGCAGTGTATTTGGCCAGAAGACTCACCGTGTACTGACAGAGCTGTCAAGCTTGGCAGGCTGCTGGCAATCTTCCAAGCTCCCACACACATCTATCCCTGTCTGGTGTGTAAGCTAATAGCATTCTGGACCTACATCCTGCCCACTCCTCGGCCATCTCCCTATTTTTCTCCCTCCAGCAACATCTTTTAACAAGAAACTGTAACTAAATCTGCCCACGTGTGGTTGAATGAAAGCCTTCTGTGATCCTGCCGTGTTTTAAAACTTTCATAGCTATTACGTTGCCAATGTCAGGAATGAAATCTAATATCCAATCAATGAAATTAAAGGGCTCAAACACACTGGCTGAGTTATCAGTGTTGGAGAACTTAACAGTGTTAAAGTATGTGCCACATTTAGGCATGTATCCTCATATAAAACATAATTATGCTTTAAAAAAAAAAAGCAGTCGCTATTAAATCTACATTTCATCACCATTAGCAGAGTCAATTGCAGTGAAGAAAAACAACTAGGCACACATTCTCCATTACAGTGACCTTTAAAAAAAGATCCTTTTAAATACGAACTTCCCTTCAAACACTGCCACTTGGCAGTAATCCGCATACTCTAGCAGGTGAACAGAAGAGAAACAGCCTAGCAAAGCTGGCTAACCCGACAACTGTGTTGTATACAGAGCGATGGGGTTAGGAAGAGGAGCTCAGTAAATGTTAGGGGACCGATTCAGGGCCTCTGATTGGGGTCTGAGCAAAAGGATGAAGCACATAGTGATATATGCTTAGCATATTGAACAGACACATGTCCTGCCAACATCTCAAACTCTCCGTGACCAAAAGAGAACCCATCAACTTCCCTTCAAAACCCACTCATTCTTCCAGTTCCCGATTTTTCTTGATGGCACCACTCATCCCAGTCACCCAGACTCAAAACCTTAGAGTTAAATCCATTCAATTAAATGCAACAAAGGTTTATCAAGCCTCTATTACATGCCAGGAACTTGGACATAGAGACAAGAATGAAATGATCACTGCCCCCAAGGAGCTTAGATTCCACCAGAGGGAAGCTATGTGTAATTAGACAAATAAGTACAAAATACATACAAAATAAATACATTGATGGTGTAGGGAGAACATTAAGAATTGGAGGAATCAGGAAAGATCTCTTTCAAGAGGTGACAACCAAATTGACCCTTGAAGGGTTACAGGGATTTCAAGAAGCTGAGGTATAAGAAACAACAGCATTCCGGGGTGACTGTCAAGGGACAAAGGCACAGAGTGGGACATGGAAATATAGGAGGAAGACCAAGTCCTGTAGGCCAGTTTTACTGGAATGTACAGTGTGCTAAGAATGAGCGATGTGAAAGAAGTTTAGATAAATAGGTTAGAGACAGATTATGAAGAGCTTTAAACACCAAAAGGCGGAGTTCATATTTTTTTTTTATCCCAGAGGCAAGGAAAGGCTGATCTCTTCATAGAGACAAAGGCAAAGAAGGAAAAAAATGAGAGAAAACAGAGAATGGAATGAAGTGTGGAGGGAGGGAAAGAGGGAATTCACAATGGATAGCTTCTATTTTTTTTTTTTCAGTAGAATAGAAAGTGAAGTCCTTTGCTAAAGGGGCTAGCTGAGGGAGAGGGAGAGAGATAGTATAGGAAGTCTGGGGAGGGAATATTTGTAACAGTCACAGAGAAGACAACAAAGGGATAGTCACGTCATGTGGCTATGAGGGTTTAGTTAAGATTAGATGACAAATCTGTAGTGAACAAGGGGTCTACCCTGGGACTTCTTACCTTTTCTCTATCTCTTGGTTAATCTCATCCGTTCTGAATGGTTCAACTATCTCAGTCTCTCCTAAAATTCAGTTCCAGATCACCACCTAATGGATATCTGCTACTATATGTTCATTTCAAACTCAATATATCCATGACTTTTCTCTCTTCCTCACTCCTCATAAGCACTCCATCTCTTCAATTTCACATCCACATATATCTCAGTTCAGTCCTTTTCTCTCTATCCATATAGCCTTCCACTTTAGGACCTCATCCCCCTTCACACCTAGACTTTATTGCAAAGGCCTCCTAAAGTAGTCTCTCTTCCTCCTCTCTGTCTCCTTTCTAAACTAGCCTCTACACAGCTACTCTATAAATGCTTGCAGGTAAGTAATAAATGCTTGTTGAACTGAATTAAACTGTACCCAGTTGGCATGGTTGCATGGCTTTCTCCAGGCGCAATCAGCAGCACACAAGCATAAATAAATAAGGTGGGTGGTGTAAGTAATCCATGGCTTAGATTTGGCAAGGTGTGACTGGCAAGAGGACAAAAGATTAAGTGATTCAGGAATAAATAGTTGATGGAATATGGCTGAACTGGTCAACAAGGGTGAACTTATTAAGAGAGGGAAGCAGAATCAGAGCAGGGGAAATAGTCTAGGAGAACCAGAAGGCACAGAAAGATTAAAGGTGAGCAGGCTACAACACATTACAAATGAGGAGTTGCACATCAGAAGTAGAGAAATTGCACTATTATGTACTCAACTTCATTATATTTCTATTAATGGCATCAAAATCCTCCCAATGTTCAGGCTCAAAGCCACCTTTGGCTCTTCTCCCTCCCCACCCTTCTCACTATACTCAATAAACTGTTGAATCTTCTGCTTCTCCCCCTCTCTCTCCACCATGACTTCTCCCTGTGTCTCTCTTTTTCTTCTTATCCCCTCTCTCTTTTCCTCTCACCTCCTTTCCACTCATGCAGCTCCCATCCTGGTTCAGGCCTTTATCACCTCTTACCTAGAATGTTGTAATAATTTCCTAACCAGTCTCCCTACTCATCTCCTCTAAAAATCATTGCTTACATAGGTACCAGAATAATATTTTTAATGCATAGGATTGAAAATGCTACTTCTCTGCTTGGACCTTCAATGACTCTATATCCTGTAGGTTAAAATACAAATCCCTTAGCCAGGTATTGAAGGCTCCTCCACAATCAGGCTCCAATCTTTACAACCTTATTTCATACTCTTCTCGTTTACGCAGTCTCACAGCACTCAGATGCCTTCTGCCTCTCTCCTCCTTCACCCATGTTTCACATGAAGAGGCGCCAAGGCAAAAACTTCTACATACATGAGTGATCCCATCCATCCCATCTCTAGCAGATTGCCCCCTCTCTCACCTGCACTCTCTCTTATCTTTAATCTCTTCCTGTCTACTAGTTGCTTCCTTACTGCCTACAAATGTCCGCATCTCCCTTCAGGAAACCTTCACTTGACTCACCTATCCCCATTAACGACCCATATATCTCCTCTTTTCATGTGGTTAAACTCTTTGAGAAAACCATCTACTTCCTTTCCTTTCACTCTTCTTAATACCTGAACAGTTTGGCTTCAGACATCATCATTCAATTGAAATTCATCTCCCAAAAGTTACTAACAATCTCTTAATACCTCAATCTAATAGCCTTGTTTCATGCTCATCTTTCTCGACTTCTCCGTAGCCTTTGACACTGTCAATCACCTTCTTCTCCCTGACACTCTCTTCTCTCTACGTTTCTGAACACCACTCTTCCTGGTTCTCCTCCTACCTATCTAACTGCTCTTTAGTCTACTTTATTGGATCTTCAGCCAGGTCACATCACTAACTGTGGATATCCCACAGGATTCTATTCTGGATCCTTTTGTCTTCTCCCTTTATATTATTTCAGTTGATGATCTCATTAAGTTCCCATGGGTCCAATGATCATCTTTATGCTGATGATTCTCAAATCTATTTATCCAGCCCTAACCTCTCTAATGACCTCCACTTTCATATCTCCAACTGCCTACTGACCATCTCAAACTGGATGTCCCATAGACATCTTAAGCTCTTCATGTCTAGAACTGAACTCATTATCTTTCCCCCAAAAACCTTCCCTCTTCCTAACTTCCCTATTAATGTTGACGGTACCGCTATCCTCCTAGTCATCCAGATTTACAATCGAGGTGTCATCCTTAAGTCTTCACTTTTTTTCATCACCCCCATATGCAATCTGTTGCCAAGATCTGTCCTTTTACCTTTGTAACATCTCTTGAATATAACCCCTTCTCTCCTCTGACACTGCTACTATCATTATACCCATTTCTCATCACCTCACATTAAGATTATTGCAAAAGCCTGCTGGTTGGTCTGCCTGCTAAAATCTCTCTGCACTTCAGTGCATCCTCCATTCAGCTGTTCAAGTGTTCTTCCTAAAGTGTAGGTCTGATCATGTCACCTCCTCTACTCAATAAACTCTAGTGGCTTCCTTCACTTCCAGGATCAGATATAAAATCCTGTGTTTGGTGTTCAGAGTCTTTCATAACCACCCATCCCTACCCACCTTTCCAGTCTTCTTATACCCTACACCTCACATTTAATTTATAAAAAGCACTTTTAGCATTCCCTGAATCAAACATAAGGTCAAGTTGATGAGCGACCACTATGGGTGCTTTTCCTATTTTCCATACTTAAACATATTAGGATAAAGAAAGGGGTACAATGGAGCCCCAAAACCTATTTGTATATGACAAACTCTTCCTAATTTGTTTTTAAAAAACAGAAACAACAAAAACCAGTCCTTACTTGGAATAAGCTGGAGCAACCCAATATGGGTTATCCTCAGCTTCCTTTGCATGTCGTAAAATGGCTTCCCGGGGGTTGCTGTCGTCAGTCTTATCCAGAGCAATGTTTTTCACTATGTATGATGACAAGGTTCCTCCATGTGTTCCAACTCTACCACCACGACCTGTTTCAGTGCAAAGAATAAAATTGAGAACTGAATTATAGACATGTACACATGGGCAATCCCAGTACATTCTGTACCTTTAGTAGTTTATTTATCCAGCACTATTTGACAAGATTGAAAAGTGCTTAGAGTGGGTTCCATCAGTGGCCTGTTGACTGAATTATGATATGCTGAGAAAGGGTGAGTTGGCCTATGAACTCCATGCTGACCTGATTTCCATATTTCTCAGTGAAATGAACTTTCCATCACATGGAGTATCTTCAAATCTTAGATGTTTCAACATTATGTGTATTAATGCCAAATCACACCGGCTTTGTTTCCTATATTAAGGCAGAATATGCTATTTTAGTGTGTTCCTATTGGCTTTAATTTAGGATGATCGTGAAAATAAAAAGCAAAAAATTTCAAGTTCCTCATGACATATACAAACATAAAGATACTTTTCCACAATTCTCCTTAATTATCCCTATTCACAAGTTTAAAAAAATCATAACATTTCTATTTGAACTTAAATTAGGCTAATTTCAAGTTGATATATCCAAGGTTAGACTATTTTTAGTTCTCAGTTGTTAAATGTATACTATGAAGTCAATGTTGTTAGGGAAAACATTGCTTTCTAAATATATATCCTACCATGATCCAGATGGCTGATAAAACTGAAATTTAATTCAAAATCAAATTAAACTTAAGAAAAAAAAAACCAGCCCAAAGCAAAACTCACCACTATATTTCTGAGTGCCTAATATGTGCAAGGTACTGAGGTAAAAATCAAAGCAACTAAGAGGTGGAAGGAATCTCAGGAACTTCCTGAAACAATTTATAATTAAACAAGAATCCTTTGCACAATACATGTGACAACTGGCCATTTTGTTTAAAGACTTCTAGGAGGGGGAAGGAAGGTGGCATGGAATATTTCCTAAGACAGATCATCCTACTTTAAGACTACGCTAACAAACAGGCAAACCTTCCTCATATCTAGCCTAAATCTGCCTCTCTGAAATTTCCACTGCCCTCTGAGGTCAAGAAAAACAAGTCTAATCCAGTTTTCACACGACCAAGATTCAAACACTTGAACACACCTATCATGTTCCTCCCTATGTCTTCTCTCTCTTTCTCTTTTTTTTTTTTGTTGGTGAGGCAATCAGAGTTAAGTGACTTGCCCAGGGTCACACAGCTAGTAAGTTTGAAGTGTCTGAGGCTGGATTTGAACTCAGGCCCTCCTGAATCCAAGGTCAGAGCTCTATCCACTGCGCCACCTAGCTGCCCCAGTCTTCTCTTTTCAAAGCTAAACATTCCTTGTTACTTCAACAAACCTTCTAATGGCATGATGCTGAGGCCCTTCATCATCCTCGTTGCCCTCCACTGGACACTCTTGAGTTTATCAATGTCCTTCCCAAAATATGTGTCCAAGAAATGAATGGAGTATTACACATATGCTTTGACAAAGGCAGAATATTAATGTCATCTCTTTAATCATGGATACTATTTCCTTCTTAATATCATCTAAGATTGAATTAGCTTTTTTTTTGGAGGGGAGAGAGGAGGAAAGAGGAATGGGAGAGATTCAAAGACCTCAACTAGCTTACAACCTAATTAGGGAAGTCAACACACATTAAAAAAAAGCAGTTAAGTAATAAAAAATTATTGGAATAATAATTTAAGACAATTATAGAGATGTTATAAGGCAATATATGACGAGTTGGCCAAATTGACTTTAAAAACACAACTACGAATAAAGAGAAAGGATATATCATGGTGGGAAATTTAAACTCCTAATCTTAGCACTCCAACTCTTTGATAATCTGACTTTAATTTATCTGTCTAGTCCGGGGGTGGGGAACCTGTGACCACAAGGACACATGTGGCCTTCTAGGTCCTTGGGTGTGGCTTTTTGACTAAGTCCAAGTTTTACAGAACACATCCTTTTATTAAAGGGATTTGTTCTCTGAAGTTCGGATTCAGTCAAAGGGCCGCACTTGTGGACCTAGAGGGCCACATGTGGCCTTAAGGCTGCAGGTTTCCCTTATCTGATAGTATTCCCATTTATATATCCTATACCTGGTCAAATTGGACTACTCTCTGTCCCTTCTTCTCTCTTCATGTCTTTGTTACACCATCCTCTATGCTCAAAAGGACTCCTTCCTTATCCACTTCTCCATCTGCCTTTCTGTAAGATTTCTACGTCAGATTCCACTTTCTCCAAGAAACCTTCTCTGGATGCCACCAGGTAAAAATGATAGCTCTCTCCTCAAATTTTTCATAATACTTTGACTGGCTCTCCTTTGTGTCTCTCACATTTTATTTTGTCTCATACTCCTTTGTGTCTATGTTTTATCTACTGTTTTTATACTGTGTACTCCTGGAACAAAGGACTGAGTTGCTTTTCATTTTGTATCCCTAGGACCTACTACAGAACCTGGCACATATGAGAAACTTAACTATTTCTTGAATTGAACCGGATAAGGAAGGTTTTACATAAAAGGTAGGATTTGAACTGGGTCTTGAAGAATGGATAAGACATACATAGGCAGACAGAAGGGAGTTCAGTAACACTTATCTGAGTATTACAACTGGATAGAATGGTTTTAGCAGAACCCTAAGAGGTAGGGAAGGGTAATGTTTGTGGGTAGACAGAAATGAATAAATCAATTTGATCCAAGCAAAAGATTCAGGAGGGGTCAAGAAGGGATTAAGGTGCAAGCAAGTAGGGTTCAGATTATAGAGAACCTTGTAATAAGTTTATATTTGTAAAATTTTATAGTTATAAAGTCTTTTACAAAAAAAAATTATTGTATTCTCACAACTCATGAAAGAATAAATGAATGATTCCTACGTGGGAAGGTGATAATTGTAACTCTTCAGAACTTTATCACTATTAGGGTAATTAGAAGGAGTATACATAGATAGAGGGTGTGAGTGTGAATTGACTATGACGAGATTACATAAAAAACAAAATTAAGGGGTGAGGAAAAGGACTGAAATGGGAGAAGAGGGAAGAGAGAGATTGGTGTAAATTATCTCACATAAAAGAGGAACAAAAGAGCTATTACAGTGGAGGGGAACATAGGGGAGTGGTGGAGAACACTCTCATAAGAATTGGCTCAAAGAGTATTGGAATAATATACACACTTAGTTGAATATAGACATCTATCTTACCCTAAAGGGAAGGAAGAAGGGATAGGGAGAAGAGAAGTGGGGGGGAGAAACAATGATAGAAGGGGGGGACAGATTGGGGGAGGCTGGTGGTCACAAGGAAAACACTTCTAAGGAGAAACAGGGTGAAAGGTGAGAAAGGAGGATAAACAGAGGGAAAATAGGATGAAAGGAAATTTACATATAGTTATCACAAATGTAAATGTTAATGGGATGAATTCATCCATAAAACAGAAGCAGATATCAAAATAGATTAAAAGCTAGAATCCTACAATATGCTGTTTACAAGAAACACATTTGAAGCATAGAGAATAAAGACAAGGCTGGAGCAGAATCTGTCATGCTTCAGCTGAAGTAAAAAAAAACCAGGGGTAGCAATCATGATCTCAGACAAAACAAAAGTAAAAACAGATCTAAATAAAAGAGATAAGGAAGAAAATTATATTTTGCTAAAAGGTACCACAGACAATGAAGTACTAATCTATATGAAACATATATGCACCAAATGGTATAGCATCTAAATTTTTAAAGGATTAGTTAAATAAATTACAGTAGGAAATAGTGAAACCATACTAGTGGGGAAATCACAGGACTAGATAAATCTAACCAAAAAATACACAAGAAAGAAATTAAGGAGGTGTAGAATTTTAGAAAAGTTAAGATATGACAGACCTCTTGAGAAAACTGAATGGGAATAGAAAGGAATACACCTTTTTCTCAGCATTACATGGCACCTACACAAAAACTGACTAAAGTATTAGGCATTTAAAACCTCACAATCATATGCAAAAAGCAGAAATATTAAATGTATCCTTTTCAGACCAAAATGCAATAAAAATTACATTCAATAAAGGGAAGTGGAAAGACAGATTAAAATTAATTGGAAACTAAATAATTTTAATAAATTAAATAATATTAAATTAAATTAAATAATGGGTCACAGAACAAATCACAGAAATAATTAATAATTTCATTAAAGAAAATGACAACAGTAAGACAACATTCCAAAATTTGTGGGGTGCAACAAAAATAGTCCTTAGGGGAAAATTTATATCTCTAAATGCTTATGTCAATAAAATAGAAAAAGAGCAGATCAATGAATTGCGCATGCAACAAATAAAAAAAAAACTAGAAAAAGAAAACCATAGAAGTAATAAATAAAACTAGAAGCTGGTTTTATGAAAAATAAATAAATAAAAATAAACTATTGGTTAGTTTGATTTAAAAAAGAAAAGAAGAAAACCAAATTACCCATATAAAAAATGAAAAAGGTAAATTCACCACCAATGAAAAAGAAATTAAAGCACTTATTAAGAGCTACTTTGCCCAATTATATGCCAAAAAAATCTAACAATCTAATGGATGAATATTTACAAAAACACAAATTGTCCAGATTAACAGAAGTGGAAATAGAATATTTAACCTCACCTTAGAAAAAGAAATTGAACAAGCCATTAATGAACTTGCTAAGAAAAAATCCCTAAGGTCTGATGGATTCACCAATGAATTCACCAAACACTTAATCCCAATACTATATATACTATTTGAAAAAACAGGTGAAGGAGGAGTTCCTACCAAATTCCTTTTATGACACAAATATGGTGCTGATACCTAAACCAAGAAGAGCAAAAACAGAGAAAGAAAACTATAGATCAATTTTCCTAATGAATATTGAAGCAAAAATTTTAAATAAAATTCTAGTAAGGAGATTACAGCAATATATCACAAGGATCATACATTATGGCCAGGTGAGATTTATACCAGGAATGCAGGGCTGTTCAATATTAGGAAAATTATTGCCATAATTGTCCATATTAAAAGCAAAATAAAAAATTATAATTATCTTA